TAACCTTCATGACCACGTAGTATTTCATAGTAGAAAGTCCTTTACCGTTTTTTTTTTTGCAAAACTTTTTTTTTTATTCGCACGCGCGCATCAGTTTTGGGGCTCCCGGAGGATGTCATCCATATAATCAAATCAACATGGCCCTACATTAAAAAAAAGAACAAAAAATCTAGTTTTATTGTTTGAAATCGCTTTGGGTGCCTTTGTGCGTTTGTACATTACGAAAGGTAAGGTGTTGGAAGCTATTAAAAATCTGTAGTCTTCGTTGGTGATATGTGCAGTTGGTGTATTGCAATGGGTGTCCCAGCCTTAAAGGGACATTTTAAACATTTTGGCACAAAAATTGAAATATTCTAATTCCAAAAAATATTACTAGTGTGATTGTAATTTACTTCCACTTTTCAACATAATTGTGCAATGATCCCACATTTCTGCCAATTATGGTTGGCATTAAAACAGCCAAAACGAGGCGCACTTAGTTTGTAGCAGCACCACAAAACATCAGAATGTAAACAAACATGGCTGACTGCTGTGTTTCCAGCTTTTATGACTCAATTTTTGGCAACTACAATTTCTCAATGGCATTTATTTGCAACAGAGTAGGGTTGATTCGACTTACGTTATCTAAAAAAAACGACTAGAAAATTGAGTTTCCATATCGTCCTAATGTTACATAATGCAGCTTTAAAAGGCCCGGCCGTGTCACGGGTGTCGTGACTGTGTGTAATACAGACGTGTACGCGCATCTCTCACTCACAGACAAGCGGTAGGAATACGATTAATCGAGGGGCACGAGAGAAAATAAGGCCCAACTCGCCTGGAAATTGCGAACAATCGGACACTAATGCACGCACGAATTAAGCCGTAAACGAAGCTATTAAGATGCGGGGCGTTGCCCATCAAGAGACGCCGTCCCCTGAGTCAGGTAGAGAAGGGGACGTGCTCCGTACTATACATCAAATGCCCAATTGATGGAACGTGATTGCTTAATTGGTTTCATTCAATCCAATTACGGCTAAAACGAGCACAAATAATTGCGTTTTCGGATCAGCGCATGTAGCGGCCCGCCGCTTGTTCCCAACAGGCGCGAGCAATCATAAATAACGCCTGTTTCCTTACCGTAGCTCACTCCGACAATCCCCTTTTAATTTTTACCCGCCGAGTGCCAAAATTGCCCTTACTTTAATTTATCGCAATCAGGCCGGGGTTGGACGGTTGGGTGCCGGTAATGGGCGGCGTTCGCGGCGTCACACGTGGGAACAGCCCGGCGGACAAAGGTTATGGCGGTAAATTGAGTGGCAAGGAACGGCTGTGTGGTTTTCCTGCCCCGCGCCGAGCCGGCTGGGAGGACCGAGCTGTCACGTTACCGCGTCACCATGGCAACAGAACAAGACCTTCATCAGCAGACATCACTTCGGAGACGGAGGTTCAAAACAGGCGCCGGCAACTTAATTACAGGCGAGACGATTTGTCCCACACTTACGGAGAACCTTCGACTTTTTCCTGTGCGAAAAACGCGGGCAATTCTCTCAACAGAGACGGGGTTTTTCCAAGGGAGGGGGCCTTTTCCTCGCAATATCAATCTCGGGGAGGGTAGATACTGCCGGGAGCTATTGTGGAGCGGAGATGGAAGGGGAAGCGCGATAGCCTGTTGATGGTACGCCGGGATTGGAACTCAATAGCGCGCTTTGAAACGGTTGCTTATCTTGGGCCCTCAGCACCGCCGCTCCCCGCACGCAGCCCAGCATTCATCTCTCTCGGCGGCCCTTTTCATTTACTGTGGCAGAAATGGAACGGAGCGAAACAAGCGTCCTATTAATCCGTTTTCATTAGCGCTCCCCGCTGCACTAGATTAGATAGTCGGCTTGTGCGACGGCATTCCATTTCCAGGGGAATTACCCGCCCTGTTCCGGCAAGGTCCGCGCGGCTGCCTCGCCTCCCCAACTTCTTAACCTCGCAAAGCTGGGGGACCTTTCAGCTGCCACGTCTTTACGTAAAACAACCTGTCGCTTTCACAAGATCCAGGATTCTCACTTTTATATCAACAACTCGTTCTTTGTTGCAGACTCAGAACCAAGTATTTTCTGTTTTCTCTCTATTCCCATTCCTTGTCTCCATCACCGCATGAAACCTCATATTTAAGCAAGCACACGTAAAGGTTCCGTCTGACCAAAAAAACAGAATATTTACGTAAAGGTATGCTTAAATATGGGAGCTCAGGCAGTGTATGCTTGACTTATTGTCGTTACAACAAAGAAACAGCCTTCTTTTTTGTACACAGACTCCGCGATTCGCCATTCCACCACACCCCGCACTCCCAGTGTCGCTGTTCGTCTTCCCCGCGTGTGTGAGAGTAACTTGGCCATCATAAAATGTCAGAGAAAAAACTCCTGAGGGATACTGAGGTGTTTAGTGTGCCGATAGCTGCCAACGTCAAGTCGAGAGAACAGAGATTGCCTATCATTCACCAGCGCTGGCGGGATGATGCCACTGACCTGCGGGATCAGCGGCAGAAATAGACCCAGCTTGACTGATGTAGTGGCGACAGTGGCTGACATTTGGGGGAAATGAAGCCACTCTTTCCCCAGGGTATATCAAAACTTCGCAGACAGGTGCAGGAGCCAAACTACACACGGAAAATGAACGGCGGCACCGCCCAGATAACTATCACCGCGGAAATGGCGGCGGTAATTGAAAAATTCCTCCGCAATTTGCTGATTCTGACTTTCGGGAGCAACAGGGGAGAAAAGAAGTTATCATCTTAGCAGTAACCTTAAAGTTCAAGTACAACTCTGAATGCAGTAGTTACCGTGTGCTAATGAAGACTGACTGTACGGCACGGTGGTTAATAACGGCAGGTTCTGTCTATTTCAGCACCAGGGACAGGGACAGAAACACTTGGTGAGCGTCTGCAAAACTTGTTGGTTAAAAGGGTATACATGTACATTATGTAACATTGTTGCACCAAAAATTGACATATCTTGTTAAGAATATTAATTTCATTGTAACTGCCGCTTTTCAACATATTTGTGTAATTATCTCACTTCTTTTTGCATCTATGGTTTTGCACTAAAACAGCCCATTTGAGGGACACTCAGCTGTGTTTCCAGCTTTTTAACACTTCCTGAAGGGAAATTATGTGCAATAAAGTAGATTCAACTTACTTTGTAAAGAAAATTTATTTTTTGTATCGTCCTGATGATACATAATGCAGCTATAAGTCACTGAACAGCTAGTAGATTAGAATTTCTTAGCAACTAGACACATGCCTGTTTTATTAAAATTGAATGACAGTGTTTTTTTTTACCTCGGAGGTACTGTGTGTTGTTTTGCCTATGTTTGCAATTGGGTGTGTGTTTGCCTGAGTTCATCGGTAAGTGAATGCAGTAGAGTTACAGAAAGCGGGGTGGTTACCACAGATTGACCTTAAGGTCAAGTTGGAAGTGATGGCTGTCAGGCTAGGAAGAAGTGATGTCATCCACTTAGGGCTTGTTCGCAACAAGGTTAGTGTCCTACTAAGTCCCGTTGAAATTACTGCAGATCATTTCTTTGGTTTTGCCAATACATTAAAAAAATCTCTAAACATTTTCCGATATTTGTGTCCTTGAGCTATTTGCCCATTGTCCATTGAAATGGTCATAGACACTATATAATGCTCTTTTGTCTCCACACTTTTTCTTCTGTTACTCGAAAATCATTTTTCCTACTCAGTTTTTAGACAATTGTACAATACTGGATTGTCCATATATTTTCATGTTTTGGAAAAATTTGACCTTGGCGCTTTTCCAATTTTTCTGCAGTCATATTATATCACTTTTTTTGTTTTCTATGGAATTTATATAGATATCACACTTATGCACCTGTGGCTGTAGCCACAAGTGTGTCAGGAAGGCAAACCGGTAGTAACCGCGTGACCTGAACTAGTGCAGTTTTATTTAATGTATAATGAAGTTGTTCCCGAAGTGAGTCATGATTCCCACGGGAACACTCCAGCAGCACTTCCCTTCCAACCCGCGCCAAACCCGCGCTGGAGTCTAACGAAGTCCCGTCTCACTTCATCAGCCGCGCTCTGCCGAATTACTGCCGGCACCCTACCTTCAAATCAACCGTCACCTCCCGAAATTGGTTATAAAAGCGGTTTTAACGGTCTATTCATTCCGCTCGAAATGCATTTGCATAAGTAAGGTTTTTAGTCATCAATCAGTAAATACGTCGTGACTGCTTCATGTTTTGT